CTATTCGTAAGATACTATTTATTTCAAAAATAAAAAAGATATTCGAATCCGGTCATAAAAATATATTATTGTCTTTTCCAAAACCTTTTAAATATTTTTTTACTTAGGTAATATATTAAGTTTTAAAAATTTTTCTCAAATAAAAATAAAGGTAAAATTTAGAACTGTATATAATATTTGTATTTAAAAAATAATATTTGATTGTATTTAAGTTATTATTTTCTAATTTCCTCTTCAAATTTTTTTTTTACTATGTATTCATATCAATATTTGGTAATTATCTTTCATTAACTATATTTTCAACTTGTCACCACAGTTACTTCCCATATCTTGAGTGAACTTACCCTATGAGAAAAAAAAGCTGTTCACTTAAAAATAATGAAATGCTTTCAGTAACATATAAAACGTCGAAAGCGAAGGTTGTGCTTGTTGTTTTTCCGCTTTTTTTCCATGTATTTCATGAATTTTAAAATAATTGTGATTATATTATTAGATTTTATTTATTTTTAAAATATATTTTCCGAATTTTACCAGCTTTCTAATATGTGTGAATTTATTTTAATATTTCTTCTCAAAAAAATAGCCCCTTCGATTTAAAAAAGCCTATATAAAAATAAGGACGTGCTTTCAAGTTTCCCTCTTATCATTGGGACTTGTTAAATATAAAGACATTAGCGGTATTTTAAATATCCATCCAGAAAAATGTTTTTCGTTATTGTTGACATACTCTTATTCCAACTGATGACTGTTATAAAATAGTGCATCTGTATTTAAAAGAGGCTACAACCCCTGTAATTATAGTCCAACTTCGAAACGATTATTCTTTGCGTTACGTAAATAGTAATTATGAATGTCATCAGTTGAGTGTAATTTAACATTTGACTTGATGTTTTGTTTTTGAATATTGAATATATGAATAGCTTGTAGCATGTATATTAGATCTTTTATTTTCAAAATGTTATACTTTTTATGTATCTGGTTAGTAGGTGTTCTAGGATGCAGTCTATGTAGATTTTTCAATGCTTTATTTTGCACCTCATGCAGCAAGTATATCTAAATTTTTCGCAAAAGGGTTACTCCAAATTGGTATACCATAGAAAAATTTTGCTATAAAATAAACTAAAACAAATCTGCATTTTTAAGTTTTCTGGTATTCTATTGCTGATCTTTCTAAACATACCCGCAATTCTACAAGCTTTCTTAATAACTTCATTGGTTTGTGTACTCCAGACAAAATCTTGATCAACAATTACTGCGAGGTATTTATATAACGTTACCTTTTCTAATGGCGTTCTGTTTTGTTTAATATTAATTGTTCTTGTTTCTGATTAGAGCAGCATGTACTTAGTTTTTTAGTAACAACTTTGAGCTTATGCAATTTCATCCAAACTGCAATTTTTGACATATCTTCATTAGCCTTTTTTTGTAAATTATCATAGTTATCTTCAGAATATACTAATATAATGTCGTCTGCATACATATACATTTTCCCAATTAATTGCGGTTTACTCATATAACATGAGAATAGCCCCGGCCCATCGAACTACAATGTATTACGCCAAATTCAACAGAGCTTATTTACTTTTGATTTGTTCGCATTCGGTGTACCGTTTCCGGTTTTTGAAATAATTTTAAAACAAAACGACCTCTCGACCTGTTACACCAATCAGTTAAATAAAATTCATAATAAAGTATTTCACTAAACACACCTTTTTTTGTTCGATATTTGGTTTTGGATATGAGAAACCACATCAAAAAGAGCCGAATCTGTATTGGATTTTCTATTGCAATTTTATTACCTAACCGAAGTAAGTTTTTCTTCAGATATTCATTTAGTTCTCTTATGCTTAATGTTAAAGAAATTGGGCCAAATTTATTAATATCTGTTTTATCACCAGTTCTTTTGTAAATAGAAATCACTTTACTAATCTTTAGCTCATCTGGCATAATACATGCCAGTGCATTTATGAATTCCATAATGGGAACCGCTATTTCATTCTTGCAATGTTTTATTACAAAAGAAGAAATAGTGTCTGCTCCTGCACTTTTAGATATAGGCATTGAATTAATTAGTTAAAGCGCCTTTTTGACACCAATTTTGTTTAGACAGAATTTTGAACCTGTTCTAATTTGCGGAAAATAAAAGGAATCATAGTTTTTTACCATTTCTGCACCTATATTGCAATACAATTCATTAAATTTATTAATTTCAATTAACCTTTCATGCGACAATTCATTTTCAAAAAATTCGTTTTCATTTTCTGCATGTCCGTTTGGATATGATTCTATTTATATATGTAAGTAGTTCCATGTTTTTTGAGCAGTAGTTTTATATTTTTTTAAAATGGTAATAGTCATATCGCTGTTGTTTTATTACGTTTGATTTGGTTACTTTATTGCGCCAATAACGATATTTATTTCGAAAATAATCCATATTCAAAACTTTTATGTTTTCTATGCCAATAATTTTTTGCGCTTGTTAACTGTAAACACTTTTCATCAATCCAAAGTTTTCAAAATTTATCCTTCTTTGAAGATTTGTAATTTTTTATTTCATCATTTTTGACATTGAAACACAGTTTGAAAGTTTCTGTAAATTGCATGACAATCATTTGTGTAGTATCGATATTAGCGATTGGAAATATCGTTCATCTCATTGATTTGTTCTGAACGAACTATTCATTTTAATTGACTGATTATGAAATCTCGTTCATCGTTCATTTCGTTCACTTTTTTTCATATATATATGTATATTTGAAAAAGAATATATACATATATATATATAATATATATAATAGGATATAATATGTATATATATTATAATATTCTGTCACAGGCATCTTTATTCTCAAGACTCCGTAATCACTGTCTATAGTAATTCAGCACTCATATTTCAATTTATATTATTTACTCGTATACTCGATAAAAAAATGAGCTTAAGCCTTTCTATAATGAAATATTAAAGATAAACAAGACATATTGGGTTTTGTTGCTAGTATATGCAAGTGTTGGGTTTTGTTGCAAGTAAGTTGCAAATAATGATTTTTGTTGCAATAATTTTGATCAGAAGCAAAAGCCAAAAAGTTTTTAATGACAATTTTGTTCAATTTTATTTAAATTAAACATTAATATAAATTAAATTTTGCTTAAGGTATATAAAAAAATGTAAAAAATTGTAACTTTTCCTAATGTTGTAAGAGATTATAAATTTGTCGTGAACTCGTTTTATAAGAAAGAAAGTCAAATACAAGTAATTTATTTTAAATATCGGTATAACCTTATTAAGTTAAGTGTAGAAGAATTATAAATGAGTAAGTTTTCTGTTGCAAGAGCTTAATATGTAGTTTATTTTAAAACATAATATACAATTGTTGAAAGTACTACAACGTTACATGAAAAATATAATTTTGTAAATGTTTTTAATTATTTCTATAGTACTTTGCCAACAGGTTTATTGAGTAATGAGTAACTTTAGAGAATTAAATAAAAAGGTAATTAAGAGCTTCAAGGAAAATGTTTAATAAAACTTGAAACTTACATAGCAATGTAGAAACTAACATTTCGTATTTTAGTACTTTTAAAAAAATTTTAGATATTTTTTATAGACAAATCAAATATACTCCGAAAACTGAACCAGGAGTCGATTTAACATTTCTTATCACATCTAAGGAACGAATTGAACGTAAATAGAATGTAAATAGAACAACGTTCATTTCGATTCCATTTTAATTCAACATTTATTTCTAAGGTTAGTACAAGGGCTTCAAAATATTAGAAGCATTCTTATACCAAACGTTTTATACCAAATTTTTTAATAGTAATTTAAAAATACTTTTGAGAAAATCAGTAATCTTATTGGAAAAATAAAATATCCATTAGAAAAACGATGAATTTTGATGTAAATAAAATTTTGCATAATGCTTATATTTACATTTACATTATACAAAAAAAATTACTTTTCAGATGAAAAAAAACTATAGTGAACAAATCAGCTTTTAATATATTTTAAATAAACTTCATTTTGATTTAGAATAAGTTGATTTAGATGCAGTAACTTTTTGTGTGAATTACACACATTTTATTATAAATTACAGTAATTTACTTTTTAATAATTTTTAATACTACTTTGAATTATTTATTTTAAAACTTAACTGAAAATGGTTACCTATATTAAAGCTATAACTAGTTACGAATTATTTACGAAGAATGTTATTATTTTCATTTCTCTCTTAACATTTATTAAAAATGGATCTTAAAATACCAAATTAATATTTTAGAGTTCCATTTTTGTATTATTTTGTATTTAAAGTAAGCATTACGACGGATCTTGGATTAGGCATATTAATTTAGAATAGCGATACTTAAAAAAGTTGTGTAGATGGCTATGGGAAAAATGAGAAACTCGTACAAATTTTTCATATCTAAAATTTTACACTGGATTGATAGTTTAATTATGTGTACTTTTTGCTAATAGTAAAATTCTCTTTTAAGACTGTATTAAATTTTAGCAGTAGTAAAAAGTAAGTTTTGTCTCGTGAGTGTGTTTTTTTTCACAATATATTATTATTTAATTTTTTGACAAATTGTTTTCATTTCAACACATATTTTGACGTTGTCAAAAATTATGTGAATAAATTTTTAATTATGTAATTAATAAGTTACATAATTTTGAACTAGTCTCGAGGGCTATTATTTATTAATATTCTAATTCATTATTAATTTCTAATATTAGATCCGTTATTTTTCAGATGAAAATAAAGAATAAAATTTTTTTTATTTAATATACATTATTTTTTTTATATTAAAAACCGTAGGAAAATGTGCGTCAGATGAATTTATTTTACAAATTAAATACGAGTGTTTTAAAAGGCCCTATCGTATATATGCAATGAACAATCAATTCGCTTTTCTGAGAATTTTTTGGTGTTATACTGTATTGAAGATTACACAAACTCTTGTTGTGAACAGAATGTAATAGAACAAGAGTTGAATAACGAAATGTCAGCTGACACTTTTGCTGTCATTTAAGTTTAGTCTTATGATTCAATTTTCCAAATACTTCATAGTTATTGAAAAATTAATTTGGAAATCATTTGAACATTACGTGGTTGGCTGATAAGGAGAAATTTAATTTTTTAGTAAAAAAGTAAGTATTATTTTTTCATAATATTTTATTTGTAACTCTTAAATCTATTTTGTAGATAATATACATAAAAAATATCTTACAAGTAGAAAAATATATTAGCGTTTTAGTCTTCCATGCATGTTATTAAAAATTTTTTCATATTATTGATTTTTTGAAAAAAACTAAAAATTGCATGAAATTATTGAAATTTCTTATATAGAATTACTTAAATATAAATGCAAAAATTACTAAACATAGAGAATGGAAGCTATGAGGTGAAAATTTTAATTTGTGTAATTTACATTTAGTTTTCTCATAAGAGTCACATGACCTGCGATAGTGAAAAACTGATTGTTTGAAATTGAATTACAAATATATTTTTTTAAATTTCTGTAGATACCCAAATTGCAAAAATGACAGGCTTAAAAAAATTTGACGATGAAGATAATGAAAATAGATATGGACGTGTTTATGCAGTTTCTGGACCTGGTAAAAATAAATTTTCAAAATAATGAAGAAACTAAAGTTTTTCTTTATTAGTCGTAACTGCTGAGAGAATGTCAGGATCAGCTATGTATGAATTGGTTCGCGTAGGATATTACGAACTCGTTGGTGAAATTATTCGCTTAGAAGGCGATATGGCTACAATTCAAGTGTACGAAGAAACGTCAGGAGTGACAGTAGGTGATCCGGTACTTCGTACCGGAAAGCCCTTGTCTGTTGAGCTTGGTCCAGGTATTATGGGAAGTATATTTGATGGTATTCAGCGACCCCTGAAGGATATAAATGAAAAAACAGAATCAATATATATACCAAAAGGAATTAATGTTCCTTGTTTGTCGCGTACTCAACATTGGGAGTTCAATCCTCTGAATGTAAAGGTTGGTTCTCACATAACAGGTGGTGACTTGTTCGGAATTGTACATGAAAATACTTTAGTGAAACATAAAATGATAGTTTCGCCAAAAGCGAAAGGTACTGTCAAATTTATTGCACCACCAGGAAATTATACCGTGGAAGATGTAGTTCTAGAAACAGAATTTGACGGCGAAAAAACCAAACATACTATGTTGCAAGTATGGCCTGTTCGTCAACCGCGACCAGTAACAGAAAAACTGCCTGCTAATTACCCGCTCTTAACAGGTCAAAGAGTTCTTGATTCACTTTTTCCATGTGTTCAAGGGGGAACCACCGCCATACCTGGAGCTTTTGGTTGTGGAAAAACTGTCATTTCACAAGCTTTGTCCAAATATTCTAATTCTGACGTAATAATATATGTTGGGTGTGGTGAACGTGGAAATGAGATGTCTGAAGTATTGAGAGATTTTCCTGAATTGTCTGTTGAAATCGATGGAGTAACAGAAAGTATTATGAAACGAACTGCGTTAGTCGCAAACACATCAAATATGCCAGTTGCTGCCCGAGAGGCGTCTATATACACGGGTAAATTTTCATTTTTTATGTATAGGATTTAGAAATAATGAGTTTTTTTTTTAAGGAATTACCCTATCGGAATACTTCCGAGATATGGGCTACAATGTGTCTATGATGGCTGATTCAACTTCGCGTTGGGCAGAAGCTCTTCGTGAAATTTCGGGTCGATTAGCTGAAATGCCCGCTGATTCTGGTTATCCAGCATATTTAGGGGCCCGTCTTGCCTCATTTTATGAGCGTGCTGGTCGTGTGAAATGTTTAGGAAATCCGGAACGTGAGGGGTCTGTTTCTATTGTAGGTGCTGTATCACCACCTGGAGGCGATTTTTCCGATCCTGTGACATCTGCAACACTTGGTATTGTTCAAGTTTTTTGGGGCTTGGATAAGAAGTTGGCACAGCGTAAACATTTTCCATCGATAAACTGGTTAATTTCTTACAGCAAGTATATGCGTGCCTTAGATGATTTTTATGATAAGAATTTTCCGGAATTTGTCCCTCTACGCACAAAGGTAAAAGAAATTTTGCAGGAAGAGGAAGATCTTTCTGAAATTGTTCAACTTGTTGGAAAAGCTTCTTTGGCTGAAACTGATAAGATAACTCTTGAAGTCGCAAAATTATTAAAAGATGATTTTTTACAACAAAATTCTTATTCATCTTATGATCGTTTTTGCCCTTTTTACAAAACAGTAGGTATGTTAAAAAATATAATCGCATTTTATGATTTAGCTCGTCATGCTGTTGAATCTACTGCACAATCGGAAAACAAGATAACTTGGAACGTTATTAGAGACTCAATGGGCAATATTATGTATCAACTATCGTCAATGAAATTCAAGGTAAAATATTTTTTCTTGGCTTATTTTAAATTACAAAGGTTGTAAAAACAATGTTTATTTATAACTATATTTAAAATTATAGGATCCAGTTAAAGACGGCGAGTTAAAAATTAAAGCTGATTTTGACCAGCTTCATGAAGATATGCAACAAACATTCAGAAATTTGGAAGATTAATTAATCTAAGAGTTTTTAAAACATTATGTGTATAAATAAGCACACAATCTTAATAGTATTATTTGTTGATATGTATATTTATCTGAAATTTAAATAAAAATATTAAATGTGTGTTTACCGAATGTAGCTTCTTAGCGAAATTTGTTTAAATCTAATTATAATATTTTGCTTTGTTGTATAAAAGTGAAATAGAATTGTAATTCGTTTGTGTAATTTAAATTAAAAGTTATTAATAAAAGTTGAAAGGAATCAAAAAGAATTATCATTTAAATTCAAAGTAATTTTCATGTTTTAAATTTGGGCACTTTCCCATGTAAACAGAATTAATAAATTTTTTCAAGTTACTTTAGTTGGAGTCGCATTGGTTTAGTTAAAGATTGCAGGTCTTGAAAAGTAGTTCTTATGTTTTCAGCGTTATTCTGCAACAGAAAATCCAAAAACCTTGAAAAAACAGTTCTGAAAACAAGAACGTTTCGCTGCAACAATCTGTTTTTGAGATGTCAATTTTATTTTGGCATTTTGTTTTTGCTGTTTTTATTATACGGCTTATTATTGTCGTAATCTGACAACAAAAATATCAAGGTCTGGACCATAAAGTTCTATAATGTACAAGACATCTTAATTTTTTTTGCATTATGTGCGTTCCCACCGCACACATTTTTATATTACAGGAGTTTATGCCAAAGTACATTTACTTAAGAAGCAGTTCCACTCGTTCCATTCCGTTAGTATCCGTTTGCATTTTGCTTCCAAATTCTTAAAATCAAAGTATATCTATTAATAAGTAGTTCGACTTTCCGTTTACATCACACTAATGCAATCACTCACCAATATTTGTATACAAAAAATTCCCTTAGCTAAAAGAGTTAAGTAGTATACTTTCTTATTTTCATTTTTATACACAAGAATTTTTAGGAGAGGGAAAGAGTACGCAACAGATGTTTTTTTATAATGTATTTTTAAAAGCGGGAGTTATTTATTTTTCCCTGCATAAAGTATAGGAAAAAAAATTAAGAATTTTAAAAGCGGGACTTTTATTTTTGTAACTTATTCCAGCACAAGGTGGAAAAAAATGTGTATTCATATTATAAAAGCGAAGCGGAAAAAAAGTGTTTAAAAAAAATTATTATAATTTATATAATATAATTTTGGAAAATAATAAAAATAAATTTTGAAAAGACGTACGAGTATAATATTAAAAAAAATTTAAATAGTTGTGAAATAAATATTTTTTTAAATAATGGGTAAACATTATTTGAAGTGTTTGGGATGTAATTTTGTGAGTGAGGAAAAAAAGCCGACACGAAAATTTCATTTTTTTGCCAAAAGATGTGGAGGGGTAAATATGTAATTTTGAAAATATTTTAAATATTTAGTGTTAAGCATTTGTAATTAATAATTATCAATAAATAAATAAATTATCTTTAAATTTTTTATTTTCATTTCAATCTTAATAAATTTAAAACATATTTCTTATGAATCGGTAATAATTATTTTTCATAAAGTATTAATCAGTATGCATACACCTTTTTTTCTTAATAAATTACTTTATATCTGTGTCACTACCTGATACTGTGCATTTACTGTACCAGGTATATGCATGTGTACATTCATACATGAAATTTCATACTCTTTTGCTTTCATACATTCGAATTTTTTACCTAACTTTATTAAAACGAAAATAAATTTTGTTATTATCAAAATAAAAATAACAAAATTTTTACCTAACTTAATTTAATTTTATTTCAGTTCAATGTTTTTGATACACTCGTTTGTTTACAATATTTTGTTTCTTTCTTACCTACACAACTATGTTAGAATATGGGGGTTCTAGACCGGAAGTGTCATCCTAGGTGTATGCAACGATGTGATATGGTTGTTGTTTTGGGTAAAAGTAAGCGGAGTATTACCGTATGCGATGATGAAAATCGAAGAAAGCTTTTTGAAGTATGCAATGTTAAAAATAACTATTAGAGGAGGTGGTTGCCTTGGTTAAATTATAAGTTTTTTAAAGGCAAAATTATAAGTTTTTAAAAAAGACGTTAAATTTAAAATCTTTTTGAAATTTGAAAAGATTCATGTAATATTTTAAGCTTTTTGTCTTGATTAAAAGGAAAACCGTTAAATTTAATTTTTTTTAAATTTAAAAGTGTAAATATTTTAAGTTTTTTATATTGGGAGGTAAAGGAAAGCCGTTAAAAATTTAAAATCTTTTTAAATTTAAAAAAGTTCTTAAAGCTTGAAAGGTAGGTTTTAGAATTATTTTTTAAACATTGATAACACAGCACCATGTAACGAGGCGTATTTGCTTCAAATATATTTAACCAACAAAAGGTTAGGGTTAGAATTAGTCTTTTTTTAGAATTAAATAAGATAATTAATACAATAATGTGAATCTTATCATCATTATTCACTATGTCCAATGTCTATTTACTTAAATAATATTTTTTCACGCATTTATAAATTAAAAAAAAATATGGACAAAATTAAAAATTATTTTTCCAAGAAAAGTAACACTTAGGGTGTTACTCACCTTGGAAAAAAAAACAAAGGGGTGGAAACAAGATATTAAAAAAGGAGATCAATCAGCAAGCAAAACATCTAATAAAAATACTAAAATGAATTTTATAATATCAATGGATAGTAAAACATATTAAAAATTAAATGATTGTTTTTTAAAAAACAATAGAAATTGTTTTTTTTTTTCGCTCCCAAATCTATAAAGCTCCCAAATTTTTACTGTTTTCTTTGCTTTTGCCCTCCGAGTCCTTGTATGAGGATATTTGCTTAGACAACTCCAGAATTTGATATTTAACTCGAAGTTCTAACGAGCTAAACTGTCGATATCTCAAAATCTGTTGTGCTATAATCGCTGCTACAACTGGACTCGCTGTCCCTCCTTGTCATTATTATACTCTCCATTTTTTTTATTTATATATTATTCATAATATATGCAGTTCTAATGTCTGATTGTTGAATAATAATTAAATTTTCTAATTTCTTCTTTAATTTATAGGTGAAACAAAAATTGATAACATGAAGAATTTTTTATTTTTTCTTTAAAAACTAATTCTGAACCAGAACTTTTGTTTTTAGGAAGCACTTACGTCTCATAACGTAATGCTGTGTTATCAATATTATTATTTATGTCAGTTTCTTTTACATTAAATCATACATATAGTATGATTTAATATAAAAACAGAAACATATAGAAACAGAATTTATTTTTTTTTTTTAATTTAAAAAATTTTTGAAAAAATATTATTTAAATTGATAGACATTGGACATCCCAAGTAACAATTTCCAAAAGTAATACCCTAAAAAATTGACCAAAACTCTCAAAAAACTCTCATATCATACTCCAATACTCTCATAATTTTTTTTCTTTTTTTGTTTTTATGCAACTCTCGTAAGGTTCTTATAATAAAGACTTAGCACTTGTAGTGTTAAAAATTTCTTTCAGCACTTTCAGCAAGCCTTAAAAAATTTTTAACTGTCAAAAAGTATACTTTATAAGATGTCAACTCTTATAGAATTTTGTTCTTAAAAGAATTCCTTTATAAATCTAGTTGTTAGGCACGGCCATTTTAGTGTTGTAATTTTTCCTTATCTAAATTTTAACCCTAATGGTACTGAGAATTCTTTTTTTTGGAAAAAAAGTCCGAAAAATATTAATTGTACAGAAATTATTAAATTAAAGTTAATGAAATGCAAAATTATAGTTTTATATGAATATAATAAAGCTTTAGTTGGAATTTATGCATATTAGTATATTTATCTTTTGCTTAACAATTCTTAAATTTTAAAATTTATGTAAAAGAAATAAGATATTATAGGGTTAAAAAATATGTATAAAAATTTTTTAAATTTTAATTATTTTTACGATGTACAATATCAACTTTTATCAATGAAATTTTAATAGGAACTTTTAATTTATAATCATGACAAAAAAAATTATTTTAATTTGCCATATTTATAATTTTATTATATTAAATTTTTGAATACAAATATTTATTGGTTACATATTATATACGTAAACATATGTATATTTTGTTTCATTTTTGTTAAGAAAATAATTATTAAAAATAGAATGGATATATAATAGATATAGAATAGATATATTTTTTATAAGGTTCGAAGAAAGACCGAAATATTTATTCTACAATGTATTGCTTTTTCTTTCTAGTAACACTTTTATAAATGGCTTATAAGAGTTTTGGTATGAGAGTTCTATACTTTAAAAACTCTTTTAATGGGAGCTTAAATCTCTTAATAACTCTAGTAATTGTGCTCTTTTTTTCTTATAAAGATCTCATTAGGGTTATTTTAACACTAAAATTTTTAAATCACTTCGCTTTTATAACACCATTTTTGCTCCTTTGTACTGAAATTAATTACAGAAATGATTCGTATACTTTATTTAGGAAAAAATAAAGTATACGAATCATTCCAAAATTGGTGAGTGATGTAAACGGAGAGTCCAACTACTTTTTGCGTAGATATTCTTTGATTTTTGTTTGCAGATTATAGGAGTATGTATATGAATATGACATCTTTATATAAGACTCCGTAATAACATAAACTCATATAATGTACAAGAAATGTTATTATTTTTGGATTTGTGGCTGTAGAATTAGGTTTTGCAAAAAAACTATGGCATGTCTTTAGTTCATATTACATACACATTTCGTACGAGAAGGCTGTGTCGCTGAACCTACATTTACTCTTTAGAGAACGAGGTTATCAGTGATAAATGGATAAGAATTAGGAAAAAGGGATTCGACACCAACGAACTTTAGTTTGTAAGAGCTTTAAATTTTATTTGGTTGCCTGTGCAAATATAATTTAATCAATTGACTACTAATGTTAAGATTTTAACAATTTAAATACGTAAGTAGTTGAATCTCTGATGAAAGAAAATGAATAATTTTGTTTTATTTAGGTGAATACACAGGCAAATTTACATGACAAACTTTATAGGCTTTCTCATCAAATATTACTAGTTTTAACTGTTTTAAGCATATATAAAGTTATTTTTTAGTTTAATTTCCTTATAAAAACTTTTCGGCACATTTGCATAATAAAATATATAATTTTGAAAAATTTGGCACGCAGGTCTCACAAGTCTTGTCACCTAGGTTATGTGTAGGCAAATGTTCATTTAATATAAAATGTATATCTGTATAATGTATGTACGTAAATACACATAATGTACGTAGTTATTTTGCTTTTAAAAATGTATATGTTAATCGTATGTACATACTGATATTTGCTTACATAGTAATGTGCCTTTAACTGTATGTACATACGTTACATATATTGCTATGTATGCATGTAAGGTAAAAAAAATTTTGCAGGACGATCTTCTTTTTGTTATGCAAATTTAATAAAATAAATGAATAAAGAATAACAAGAGTAAGAAAAATAAGAGTTGCGAAACTTATGGGAAGGAATTTTATTTTGATTTAAAGGAAAATTTTAATAAATTTTATAAGAAAAAGGCGACGGAATTGAAGTGTCGTTTTTCGAATTAACTTCATTTGAGTTTGCTGACATAACTCGCGTGTATCTCAATTTGGGCTGAACCAATTTTAGTGAAATTTTATATTATTTCGACTATGTCACGGATTGATCAACTTTTGAGATATATCAGGCCTCGGGAATTGGATCTTTTAACGGGTCTGTTTTACATTTTTGATCAACAGATTTATTTGCAATTTCATATATAAGCTTCATTTGACCGTACGCGAAATCTCCTAACTTTTGAAGAAATCAGGCGTGACCAACGGGTCGTTTATTACTGGCCAAATATAAAATTTTGCATATATAAAGAGAAATAGTTAACCGATTTCATTGAAATTTAATATTTAAATTAAAAAATCAGGGCTTGGAATCTGATCTGGGTGCCGATTTTAGATTTTTTACTATATTTACAGAACGAATTGATGGAATTTCCTGAAATTTAGTATTTAAGTTCTGTTTCAAGTTTGTTATCATAAGTTTCTGACGAACTTTTCGTATAATTCCGCCGGTACAAATTGAAACTCTGCTAAGAGGCAAAATTACATTTTTCTAGGCATATTAACTAAAAGCTAATTAGTGTAAAGAAGTTTACTTTACCTTTTCAAAAACTGTTTGTTTGAAGCTTTCATCTTTTTCGAATTGTAAGTTTGAAACAAAAAAAATCGGATAAGCAGAAATTTCATGAAAATTCGTTAAAATCCTTTTAATTCGGGAACTCTTGAAATTTGGCGCTTAGTCCGGAACAAAAGTTTCACCCATTTTTTGAGCCTCTAAGCAATGGTATATTTTTTATATCTTTTTGAGTCACTCTGTCTATATGTATGTAAAAATATTGACTTTTTTCGTTAAATTATAATTTCAATGGATTATTACGTTTTATTTTCTGTTTAAATAAATAAATTTTTTAGGAACTGGAAATTGCCCTTTGATAAAGTTTTTAAATTAGCATTGAAAAGCATTAAAAAACTTTTTTTAATTAGCATTTAAAAGAATTTTTAATATTTTAGTACACCTGCATTGAAAAAGGAATTTTGTTTGCGTCGCATTTTGTTAAAACTATTTATCGTCACAGAGCGCAATGTATTATACATATACGTATTTCATATGCTGGAACAGTGAAGTAACTTATGAAATACAATTTATAAGAAATAAAACTATATATAATATTTTATGAAGAAATAAACACTAAAAACATTGCTTCTTTAGATAAAAAGTCCTTTTTTGTAGTTTGAAAATGGTCGTTTACACAACCACAATTATTGTTATTTATTGTGAATTGAGGTGACTGAGGTTTCTGGATCATCGTCACTTTTTTGAATCCCCAATTTCCAAACCACTTTCAAAATCATTAGTTTTGCATAAGAAACCCCATAAAACCAACAGAATTTCTTACCTTTTAAGAGATCGCTTATTTTCAAAAATATTTGAAGATTATAAACTAATAATATATTTTGTATAAATATTACAATCTTTTACAAACGGCTTTCTTTTATTATTCATAGTATGTACATAATGGCGTTTTGAGCAAAACATTACATACGTTTAAAAATAAAATAAAGTTGGTTCAAACCAATGCTTTGAATTGTAGCACTTTTCCTTTCAAAAAGTGTAAAAACCTAGAAGCAGTATTAATCAATCTATATGTACGTACTACACTATTAAAATTACTTTTATTCATATGCGAAACTATTTCATTAGGGATTGCTTATATTTAGGATGATCGATTTATCTAGTCTTATAAGTAAGGCACACATGAATTTAAAGAGGTAAAATAATACTCGATTTTAAGGATTAAGAACGTGAGTTAAGAAATATAAACATATTTTTTAATGTAATTTTTCTGTTATAATATAATTCCTGCGTTTATATAAATTTGAAAACACATCAGGAACATGGAGAAAACTGATATTTGATAACGGTAAATTTTAATGGCCATTTTGTTATTTTAAAGTTCAAATTTAGTATGCCGCAGTAGAAGAAGCCTACTACTATATTTCTGCGTTTGCAAAATTTGAAAAATGCTTATGGTTTCACTGCAACAAATAGTTAAAAAATGCCAAATTTATAAAATGTAAATTTTGTTCTTTCAAAATGTTCTTTACAAAATGTTAAATTTCAGTTTTCTATCTTCAAGCTTGCAGAAGTTTTGTAAACATGTCCACGGGTGGACAGACGGACCGACGGACGAACGGACACAGTGAAAGTAATAAGCACTTTTTTTTCAAAAATTTTTTGGAAAAGAGCTTAAAAACTATTTATGTATGTAATACAGTAATGAAAAATTAAAAGTTGAAGTTGTGAGGTGAATGTTAATTATTTGTTATTAGAAAATTCCAGCTGGAAAGAAAACATGAAAAAAATGAAAGGAACAGTTTTTTTTTTCGAATTTCTAATACAGAGTACATACAAAAGTTTTAAAGTATAATATGCTAAAATTGTATGTGAACAACGACATTTGCAATAGTATTCTCAAAATTTGACTATTCATACATCATAGAATATATGTAATTAATTTCACCCTAGTGCCAAATATAATTGCATGTTTTTGGATCACAAATCTAATAAATTATATAATAGCTTTTTTATCAATTTTCACCACTCTTTGAAGTTTATTTTGTGATAGAACTTAATATAATTTGTTGAACCAGGATTATGATAAATGACATCAATTGATATTTTTGGATTGTTATTAAGATTTTGTTAAAAAGTTTACATGCAACAACATCCTCAAAATGAAGACATAGTTTATAAGACATTGATCAAAATTTCTAACTAATCAAAAACTTCGACATAATATACATGTGTATGTACAAATGCAACACTAAAATGATTTGACTGTTCCTTCGCCAATTTTTTTGAGCTAAAAAAATTAATATATTTTTTTTTGCTAAAATGTAGTTTTCTTTGATTAAGTCATTTTCGTGCGGCTTCGAAAAAATTTAAGTTTGATTTGAAATAAAATAATAAGAATGAAAACTATATGTATATGTATGTTTTTAAGCAACATTTTTCTTTCTAATTGAATGAGGACTTTATTTATGTTAATGAATATATGACTTGACAGCAGAAAATGTTCGTTAACCTGCAACTTTCAAAAATGAAAGACATTGGTAAATTTACAGTAATACTTGGTAAAAACATTGGTAAGTTAACATTAGTAAAAGTTAAATCATGCAATTTATAGTTAGTATAAAATTTATTTATTTATTTATTTAATTTTTTTTTAATTTACATGTTGTAAATTTATTCATTTATTTACATTTTTTTTAATTTACAAAAATTTCTGTAAAATAAAAGATAAGGTAAAATACATGTACATAATCAACATAAGTTAGAAGCCTTATTTATTCAAAATATACTGAGAATATATGGTATTTTTTATTTTTTAATTAGCTTTAAGATGTTTTTTTTTTGTATTTTTTTTATGTGCTCCAAAATTTCTCACATACTGTCATATCAGAAGTAAAAGAAAATCAGCTTTGATTAGATGTGGATGTTGCGAACAGAATATATGTATTTCGGTATATTACAACAATGTGTGTTTTCAGATTTAAAGGAAAATTTTTTCTTAATTTAACAAAAAAATCTTTTGAGATAAATGCATTTCCGTAATTTTGTAAAGAACGTAACATTCTCTTTAATTTATCGAATTTCTTTGCAAGTTTTGGTGAAAGAAACTAATTAATTATTGACAATCATACTATGTACATACATATATTTGAGTTATGCGTATTCTCTTACTTTTTATTAGTTTAATAAAAACGCTTTCTCTTGCTTAAACAATTTCAGTATATTATACAACATTAACTCAACAAGATTGGATATTGGATCATAATTTTAATTTAATTGAACTTACACGTGGTGATAAAACAATGAAAATTTTATTAACATTAAGTGCCATTTTTTTTGTTGTAAACACAAGGCAAACTAGTAAGATAGAATACGGTAAACAACGAAGTTTTTTTCTGACAGGCGAAGCAATCAAAGAACGTTCAAGATTTCACAACAATAAAATTCATACTGATTACTATAATCATGGATACAAAGCATTCGAATCTTATCCAGACAATGGATTATTCAGGGAACAGTTGCAATTTATTCCTGAAAGTACATCACAAATTTTATTTCCAACTCCATTACATAATTTTATTCACCCCGGAGGAATCTCCACTTATTCTGCAAACTATCCACAATTTTACCTACCCAAACAGGTATATGCAAAATATGATGAAGAAGTCAATCAGCAAATACCATTGAACTTAAATAATCCTCTTGTTATATCAATAGCTAGACCTGTTCAAATATTTTCTACTTTACAAGCGCCATTAAGAGGGCAAGTTCATTTTAATTCTCAGACAACTGTTCCAGTTCCACTGTCGTCTGCATTTCCTCTAGAGCAAATTGGAAAAACTTTGACGCAAATTCCTATTGCACCGGGAAACTCGGATGCATCTCTACCTTTTTTACTTCCAAGCAGGTTGATTGTGTCACTTCAAGTTCCATATATTATTAGACCAAACCCGCAGATACAATCAAAAATTAATACAATTCGGGACTCATTAATTACACCAAGAATAAATTATACACTTGTTGCTGTGGCACCTCCTATTTTATCCAGAGAAACAGCGCAAAATTCACTCTCTCTACCAACAATTGCAACAAATGCCAACATATTTTGGAGACCGTCAAACAATTCTTTTTTTCCAGCCGTAACTTTTAACAAACCATCAATTACCTTACAGCCACCATTCAACAAATCAACAGACTTGAATGAATTTGGGATAATAACCGATTACAACAACGAAGGTAAAATTTTAATATTTTGAAAATTGATTCCTCTGTTTTGCCGTAAAAATTTAATTTGTAACGCACCTTAACGACCAAAAGTTTATTGAAAACATTGAGTATCATATTTGTTATGTGAAAACTAAAACTATTACAAGACTATTAAAACTATTCTATTCAAAAATTTTTTATAAAACGTTCCGTGTTCAGGTTGCGCTTTCTATGTAAATCTTGCGAATGTCGCAAATTTCCGATAATAGCGAAAGAAAAGCAGTATTAATAAAATTAAATCGCAAGAAAGCATTTCTATTGTTGAATTACGAAATTGATAATATTATATCAATGATAAACTATGATAAACTAGTTGTCTTAAAAGGGTAATCATAAATATTAAAAACTTATTTTGAAATATTTCGAATTGTGATAATTACTCGAATATTTAGTGTTGTGCTAATGCTATTAGAAATTAAGTGTTGTGTGGTAATCACATAAACTTCAGATATATATGTGACCTATAACTGGATACACAACTGTAAACTTTCATGAAACTGATTTTATAATTGTATTGAATCAGTGCAGCTACTTCATTAAAATTTTCGGAAAAATGTAAAATGTAATTGGACACACCCTTACCTAATTCGATATTAATAACTACATTAGTCTTTTATATTATTTAACATAATGGTTATTTAACATAATGGGTTCGGGTATCATACCCATTGTCCAAATTAGTCCAATTACAAGAGCAGTCCCTGGGAGAAAAAAACTTGTAAAAGTTTGGTGTCGATTGAATTATTCGTTTTTGAGTTATCGGATGGACGAACATGCTTAAATCAACGCAGAATTTTACGCTGAACAAAAATACAAATCTATACCGCAGCAGACTCCTTCAAGTTATTACAAATTCCATACCAAAATTAATACACCCTTCAAAGAAGGCTGAACTACAAAACTTCTACATTCTTGAATATAGAAAGATGAAATTTAATAGATCTTTACTAGAAAATTATTTCCGTAGAAGAAAATTTTTACCTATCTCCCCCCTCTAGAAAGTATTCCCCCCAAAACTCTAAAAATGTCATTTTTTGACTATTTATTGCAGTGAAACCATAAGCACTTTTCAAATTTTGCAGGAAGGCAGTGGCTTGCTTTCCCTATCGCCGCATACTATAGTCAAACTTTAAAAAAACAGAATTGTCGTTCAAATATACGGTTATATAAAATTCGTTTTTTCCAAATTTTTGATGTCATTTCTCTTCTAGATCCTAGGTTGTAGGAGCCTCAAATTTTAGCAGCTTTTAGAAACTAATAAATAATTCATTTCGTTAGAAAAAACATTTTTTCCATCTTCACCCCCTCTTAAGTTATTACCTCTCGAAATTTGTAAAATTTTAATTTTTGAAAGCTAAAGGTAAATTCCATGACATTAAAAAATATAACTATTTTTCTTAACTCACACAATTAATCCATAAAATCGAACATTATGTTAACCTCTCTTTAAATTAGCTTTTGATTTATTTCAAAGACTGCATAAATCGTTCATTCTAATCCTAGAAATAATTTCGCATTTGAATGAAAATAATTTTAACAATATGGTAGGTATACATATACTGTATTTAAAAACAGTATTTTCACTTGTTGAAAGCAAAAGTGCTACAATACAAACCATTGGTTTGATCCAACTTTATTAAAAATTATAAACATATTACGTGAATTTTAATACTCATTTTTTTTATCTTTTCGTTTTAATAATATGGATACACCATTCTTGCTACCTTGTGCTGGAATTAACTACTGAAAAGGTTTTTTGCGTCTTACGCAAAATTAATTACGAAAAAAATGGTTTTGTGCGCGTCTAAAAATACATTATAAAAAAACAGGAAGACATCTACTGTGCGCAGTCTTTCTCTCTTCCAAAAATTCGCATGTGTATAAAAATTAAAATAAGACGACATACCGTTTAACTCTTTTAACTGAGGGAGTTTTTTGTATACAAATATTTGTGAGTGAATCTTAATATTAAATTTTTGAAAAAATAAAACTAATTGTGAAGAAATTTGGCAGTGGTGTGTCCGATTATGGCGCAGATATTATATTCTTGAAATTTTTGTGAAATGGCTTGACAGATTCAGCTATCAGAAAACAAATTTTAAATATACTACTCCAAAACAAATTTTATATATTCGGAAAAATAATGAGGTTAAATTCATAAGGCTTCATAAGGCACACATATCCTTTGAGTTCTTTTAGCATGATTTGACAGATTTGGGTAGCTTACATATAATTCCAAAAAATAATTTTAAATAATCGGAAAAATAATAAAATTAAATTCATGAAACTTGGCAGTTTAGAAATTTTTATGGAATGGTTTAAACGATTTTCATGAAAAAACGAGTTTTCGTACTCAAATTGTCAGAGCGCAGGGTGTAATTGTAAGCGTTTTTATACGATTATGAACGTATGTTCGAAATGACACATATACACCACAATTAGAATTGAGGTGTATACGGGCGTGTAGATGATTTAAAAAAAAGCAGATTTAAGAAAAAATTATTTTTTTAAGAAATTATTTTGGTTGAAGTTTCACTTTTATATTGAAATTTTTATTTAACAATAGTTACATCTTTAAATTCAAAATTAACAATACCTAACAATTTAACAATACCTAAATATTTATTTTATCTTTTATTTTATTTTTAATTTAATGTATTTATTAATATGTGTCTGAGGTGTCTTTAGTTTGCTTTAAAATATTCACGAATTTCTTATCAATATAAAGAACTCTTGAAAATTGTATAAATTATAATCGATTCAGCTTTCCAGTGCTCTTTCAATAAAATATTCGTCAAATGAATACTTAAAAGCTATAACTCTTTATTAATCTTTATACTTTATAGAATATTACCAAGCCAGGATTTATCACCCTTTGTGATATTTTTACCTATGATCCTACGTACATATGATCAACAACGAAGACCCCATGAGTTGAACATAATTATGGGAGATTTCAACGCGAAAGTTGGTGAAAAAAAGTAGAAAATGTTTGCGGTAATTTCGGACTGGGTGTGAGAAATTGCAGAGGTGATAGACTTGTTCAATATTGTCAGGAACAAAACTTAAGAATAATGAACACATACTGCAAATTACCACCACGCAGATTATACACCTGGAAATCTCCTCAAGACTCAATTAGCCACATTGTACGTAATCAAATTGATTTCATATTAATTAACAATAGATTTTGCACATCAGTTAAAGGAGCTAGAACTTATCCTGGAGCAGATGTACCGACGGATCATAATTTATTACTAGCTGAAATTAAATCTAAACTCGTTGCGAAACCCAAGGTTCCACAACAGGTGAGGTTAAATCTAGATAGGTTGAAAAACGAAAATATCAGAGCTAGAGCTGCTGCAAAGATAAATGATCAATTACGGAACATAGAAACAGAAAATGATACGCAATCTATATGGAATCAAACGAAAATGGTGCTGAACAATGTTGGCCAAAAAATATACCAAAACGAAATTGGATGACAGAAGAGATTTTGATGTTAATGGAACAACGAAGATCGCACAGAAATAAAGATACAAACGAATATAATTAACAGAATTATTCGTATCAAAATCAGGCAGGCTAAGATCACATGGTTACAGCAAGAATGTGGAGAAATAGAAAGATTGCAGCACCAAAATAATGCGTTCAACATGTACAAAAAACTAAAAGAAACAGCGGGGATCTATAAGAAAAAACAAGTAGCTGTACTAGTAAATGATGAGGGACGTATCATGATCACGCCAGATGAAAGAAGAAAAACCTGGGAAGAATATATTCAAGAGCTGTTTTCTGATGCTAGTCGAGCGGAAGTCGTAGAAAATAACTCATCAATTCAACTTTCGGGCGCCCACCTATTACTAAGGATGAAATACGTCAAGCCATCAACTCATCTAAAAATAATAAAGCTATGGGTCCAGATGAAGTACCCGCCGAACTATTGAAGCTAATTAATGACAACAACATCAAAATATTGGAGAAAATATTCAACAACATTTACAACACCGCAATTTTTCCAGAAGACTGGCTCAAATCTACTTTTATTGCTCTACCGAAGAAAAATAATGCTCGTAAATGTAAAGATCACAGACTTATTAGTCTTATGAGTCATACTTTGAAGGTCTTTCTCAGAATTATCCATAATCAACTATACAGGAAATGCGAAGAAGCAATGGGACGATCCCAATTTGGATTTAAATCAGCATTAGGCACACGTGAAGCTCTATTTGCGATCCAGGTACTCGTACAGAATTGCAAAGATGTACAAAAAGATGTATTTCTAGGATTTATCGACTATGAAAAGGCTTTCGATAGAGTTCAGCACAACAAACTAATAGAGATTCTCGAAAACATGGGTTTAGATGGCAAAGATATACAGTGCATTAGAAATATATATTGGCAACAAACTGCAAAAGTAAAATATGGAGATATAACCACAACGGATCTTCACATTCACAGGGGAGTTCGCCAAGGATGCATTCTATCACCACTGCTATTTAATATCTATTCAGAAAAAATATTTCAAGAATCAATAGCTGAAGAAAATAGAGGAATAAAAGTCAACGGCACATTTATTAACAATATTCGATACACCGACGATACCACCATAATTGCAGACAGTATCGAAGATTTACAACACCTAATGAACAAGGTAAATCACCACAGCAAAAAATTTGGTTTAAACATGAACAACAAAAGAACCAAATACATGATTGTAACTAAACACAACATACCATATACGAACGCTTCCATCTACATCGACAATGAACCCATAGAACGTGTAAACAACTTCATATATCTCGGATCGATGTTACACGAAGGCTGGGATTCTGAAAAAGAAATAAAACGTCGTATAGAAATGGCGAGGGGCGCCTTTTTGCATTATCAAAAAGTATTGACCAACCGAAGTGTTAACATCGAACTGAGATTGCGTTTTATGAGATGCTACATATGGTCAGTTCTCATGT